GACATGTACTGGAAGAAGAGAATGTTATATTCAACAACGCAGACGCCGAGGGACTCATAACTCCGCATAACGACGCACTGGTAATATCTTTACTTGTACATGATACTAACGTGAAACGAGTTTTGGTTGATCCAGGTAGTTCTGTAAACATTGTTTTAATACGGGTATTGCGCGAGATGCAAGCGGAGGATAAATTAATTCCAAAGGCGCATACTTTGTCGGGATTTGATAACTCTAGTGTTGTAACAAAAGGGGAGGCAATACTTACTACATTCGCAGAAGGCGTCGTTAAAGATACCAAATTTCAAGTGGTAGATATGGAAATGGCTTACAATATGATTCTTGGGAGGCCATGGATTCATGACATGGAAGCTGTTCCTTCAACTTTACATCAAGTTATTAAATTCCCATCTCCATGGGGAATATGCCAAATCAGAGGCGATCAACAAACATCTAGAAGCATCAATTCCGTTGCAGATTCAACTGTTAAAGGTGAAGACAAATAGCAATTACAGAATTTAGGTGAGGGTAACACGGAGTCAACCTCACCTGAGCAAAAGCAAACAGATCTGGATTCAAGACCTGATACCATTCAAGAACCGGAGGAGAATGAGAACATCAAAACAACGATAGAAGAGCTAGAGGCCGTGGTGTTATTTATACATTGGCCCGAGAGAAAAGTGTACATAGGAGCTAATCTTAGCCCGGAGGTAAAACGTAAATTGATTGAATTTTTAAAAGCTAATGCGGACTGTTTTGCTTGGTCCCATTCTGACATGATAGGGATACCACCGGAAGTCATGACTCATAAGTTGAATGAAGATCCATCATATCCTCCCGTCAAGCAAAAGAAAAGAAAGCAAGGAACTTTCAAAAATAAGGTGATTCAAGAGGAAGTTCAAAAGTTGCTAAAAATTGGTTCAATTCGTGAGGTAAAATATCCTAACTGGTTAGCTAATACTGTTGTGGTTCCTAAGAAGAACGGTAAGTGGCGAGTCTGTGTAGATTACACAGACCTTAATAAAGCCTGTCCAAAAGATTCCTTTCCTTTACCGCACATAGATCAGTTAATTGATGCTACTGCAGGGCATGAGCTATTAAGTTTTTTAGATGCATATTCAGGCTATAATCAAATCAAGATGGATCCAGGAGATGAAGAAAAAACTTCTTTTATAACAGACAGGGGGACTTACTGTTACAAGGTAATGCCCTTCGGTCTTAAGAATGCAGGTGCAACGTATCAAAGGTTGGTCACCCAAATGTTTCAAGAACATTTAGGTAAAACCATGGAAGTATATATAGATGATATGCTAGTTAAGACTCAACATTCAGAAGATCATATATCGTACCTATCTGATACGTTTAAAATTTTACGAAAATATAATATGAAGTTGAATCCAGAAAAATGTGCATTTGGTGTGGCATCAGAAAATTTTTAGGTTTTCTTGTTTCTAACCGTGGTATTGAAGTGAATCCTGCACAGATTAAGGCCATTGAAGAAATTCCTGATATACTTTCCAACAAGAAAGAGGTTCAAAGACTAACAGGAAGAATCGCAGCTTTGGGAAGGTTCATTTCTAAATCATCGGAAAAATGTTTTAAATTCTTCTCGGCTCTTAAGAAGCAGGATCATTTTGAATGGGATGAGGAGTGTCAACCAGCACTTAGGGATTTGAAAATATACTTGTCAAATCCACCCTTGCTAGCAAAACCCAAGGCTGGGGAGAAACTTTTCATCTACCTTGCTGTTTCAGAAGTTGCGGTAAGCGCGGTTTTGGTTCGAGAAGAGCAGGGTAAACAATCTCCTATCTATTATGTTAGTAAATCTTTGTTAGATGCAGAGACACGGTATCCATAATTGGAAAAATTAGCACTTGCTCTAATCATGGCATCTAGGAAGTTAAGACCTTACTTTCAATTCCATCCTATTGTTGTAGTGACTGTATACCCCCTACGTAATATATTGCATAAACATGAATTGTCGGGAAGGTTAGCTAAATGGGCCATAAAGCTAAGTGAATATGAAATCACGTACTTACCTAGAACAGCAATAAAATCACAGATATTAGCTGATTTCGTCGCTGACTTTAGCCAAGGGATGCAATTAGAAGCAGAAAAAGAAGTACAAGTACTTAATGGGGCTAATCCAGGAACATGGACCTTATTTACTGATGGCTCATCTAACGTAAAAGGTGCAGGATTAGGAATTGTTTTAGTACCACCTACAGGTGAAACTATTAGGCAAGCCATTAAATGTCATTCCGTAACTAACAATGAAGCGGAGTATGAAGCTGTGATTGCAGGTTTAGAATTGGCACGAGAACTTGGTATAAATCAAGTAGTGATCAAAAGTGACTCGCAGCTCGTGGTTAATCAGATGCTAGGGACTTACACAGCTAGGGAAGCAAGGATGCAGCAGTACTTAGAAAAGGTACGTGAACTGATAAAGCAATTCCAAACCTGGAAGGTCATACAGATATCGAGGGATGAAAATATTGAAGCAGATGCCTTAGCTAATCTCGCATCCGCAGCTGATGTAGCAAAAGATGCAAATGCTGCAATTATACATTTATTTCACTCAGTTCTCGATCCAGATAAGAATGAGGTAAATTTTAATAATTTAACTTGGGATTGGAGAAACGAAATTGTTGCTTTTTTACAGTATGGTACCGTCCCTAATGACAAGAAGCAAGCGCATGCACTTCGAAAAAAGGCTGCTCGTTACTGTTTAAAACAAGGGAATCTTTATCGTAAGATGTTCGGTGGTCCATTAGCAAGATGCCTCGGACCTTCTCAAACGGAGTATGTAATGAGGGAAATACATGAGGGGCATTGCGGGAATCACGCAGGAGGAAGATCACTGGTTAGAACCTTGATTAGAGCAGGATATTACTGGCCTAAAATGGAGGAAGAAGCGGAAAGTTTTGTAGCTAAATGTGATAAATGTCAAAGGTACGGTAACAACATGCATAGACCTGCGGAGTTGTTACATCCGGTCATATCACCATGGCCATTCATGGAGTGGGGAATGGATATCGTGGGTCCATTACCACAAGCAAAAGGACAGGTAAAATTTTTGCTCGTGCTTACTGATTACTTCACTAAATGGGTAGAGGCAGGAGCATTTAAACAGGTACGAGAAAAGAAGGTCAGAGACTTCATTTGGCGTAATATCATCTGCCGATTTGGTGTACCAAAGGAGATTGTATGTGACAATGGCCCTCAATTTACCGGAGCTCAAGTCACTGAGTTTTTTGAGAGTTGGAAAATTAAAAGAATCACATCTACACCTTATCACCCAGTAGGCAATGGGCAAGCAGAATCAACGAACAAAGTCATAATCAATAATTTGAAGAAACGTTTAGAGGAATCAAAGGGTAATTGTTACCCGGAGTTTTATGGGCATATCGCACGACAACAAAGACGAGCACAGGTGAAACTCCTTTCTCTTTAGTTTATGGAGCTGAAGCATTAATCCCAGTTGAAATAGGAGAACCGAGTACAAGATTCTCACAAACAACACAAGAATCTAATGACGAAGAGATGCGGGTCAATTTGGATCTACTGGAAGGCAAGAGAGAAGCCGCATTAATAAGAATGGCAGCACAAAAATAAATGATCGAACGATATTACAACAGGAAAGCACGACTGCGATACTTCAAAACTGGGGACTTCGTGCTTAAAAAGGTTTTTCAATCTACAAAGGCAGCCAACGCGGGTAAACTAAGTCCAACCTGGGAAGGACCTTACAAAGTTCGAGATATCGCAGGAAAAGGAGCATACGAGTTGGAAACAATGGACGGGAAGGTGCTTCCTTCACATTGGAATGCAGTTCATTTGAAGAGATACTACTTCTAAGGCAAAACCCACGGTCAGGTATCACCATGTTGAATTATATTTTTTGAATTGTTAAAATTTTACTAACGATTTTAGATGATAGGCAAAACGCTAACCCGTACTAAATGATGAGTCACGACCTGTAAGGCAAAATGGAATAAACTAAAATTCCTAGCCCAGGGTTACAATTATTTCGATAGAAATTTAAACGGGTTAAGCAGTCTTCATCTATAATCGTACCTCCGAGTCGCGTATGTATTTCCTTTTAAGGAAAAGGACCGAATGAGAGAAACTATCAAGTGCTCGAGGCTTCATACTTCAACACTCAAACACTTGGGGGACTACATAATATACACAAGTATATATAAAGAGGGCAGAGAAAATTGAAGAAAAATTAAGCCTGGGAAAAAGTGAAGTGCAAAGTAATAAAAGTCAAATGAAGTCATGAGCCAAGGCTAAAGAAATCCTTACTGTAATTAGGGTAAAAGCTGTGTACTAAAGCAGGTTGTAAAAAAAACCTTGCATTTATTGTTCTAAAACGGGTTATAAAGAAAAACCTCGTGTTTATTATTTTTTCTTAAAAAATCTATTACAAGAAAAAAGGGTTACGAGAAAGTTATAGATGTAATTCAAGCATATGTAAAGTATTATTCAAAACTTGTCAAAGTTCAGAAATAAAAATTTCTCGAAGTTGTTGCAAAAAACATGTGTGTTCCTATTTCTTTTATCGTATGATCACACCATTATGAAGTTGAGACGTCTTCTTCATTAAGTGTCAAAATATAAAAGGGCCCTCTTTTATAATAGTCATGAGGTTAATGAAAGCATTTTCAAAGAATAAAAATGCAGACTATTCTTTAAGTCCTTGAAAATAAAAGGCACGAATAGAACAGATGGAAGTTTAAAGACAAACTTCTTAATATTTTAAAACTAAAAGACTAAGTATTAACTTAGTCATCGAACTATTCATACAAAAAATGCCCCTTAAACAAGACTTGGGGACTTGAACTTTTAAAATCAAACCTTAACTGATAAGCAGGGGTTTGATTACAAAAAAAAACTATCACAAGAAACCAAAAACTTTAAACATAGTTTTCCAGATGGGTACCTGCAAAAAAGGGAATTTAAAGCAAATATAAATCTTTTCACTAAGAAGAAAGAACTGAGGAAGGATCATCAGCGGGCTCAACTGGAACAACATCGACAGACGAGATCTCAGCTTGGCTTGCAGCAAGGGGCACAGTTGAGCTTGAAGAAGATACAACATCCGAAGCAATTGCAGCATTCACAAAGGCTTCAGAGACGAGAGTTTCAACCAAGGGAACTTCAACCTCGGGAGATGAAAAATCTTGTGTTTGTTAAGTTCGTGCGATGGTTTCATTCACCTTGGTTAATTCTGATTCAAGGTTGAAGTCCTCTTGACCCATTTCTAGTAAGGTGTCACGACGAGAATTTAGGAAGGCCCAACTCACCTCAACATCAGTTTTTTCCTCAAGGATTTCATAATCCCTTTCCCAAGCAGCGACCTCATTCTTGAGTCCTTCATTCTCAGCTAATACAGAATCATAAGAAGATTGAAGGGCGGCATGAGAATTCTCCAAAGCATGCATACTATCCACAGAGGCACGAAGATCCTCCTGTGCCTTAGTCAAATTCTGAACTAACTCCCCGGCATAAATTTCTTTTTGGTTCAAAAGATCCTTCAATGCCCTGATTTCTTCACTGGCCTTGGATAATTGTTCAGAAAATGAAGTCTCAAAACGTTCTCTTTCTTTTTCCCCCTGATTCAACGAAGCCTTGATGACCCCCAACTCGGAAGTGAGTGCTCGAACCTGTTGTTCTAAGGCACTCTTGTTCTCTTGTAAATCCTCCATGTCGAGTTGAACACTACCAAATTGTTCCTTCCAGTTGTTTGCCTCAAACTGAGAATCACGTGCTACCTTCTCCAAGAGGGAGATTCTGC